CACCCCTAAGAGTGTGATGTAAACAACCTACCCTAATCCAAGCATCAGTAGTTGCTTCTGCGGCTCGAACCTGTGACCTATAGGTCACACGGATATAACTTTACCGTTGCTTCAAGGCTCTCATTCGAAAATGCTAACAATTATAGAAAAAAGAAAGAAAAAAAAGAGGAACTGGAAAAATGTTACGTACAATTTTGGATAGGCATACATCTTTCTGTTAGTTAAGAACCGATAATCTTTTCTTATATACTTTTTTGTTGTTAAAACCAGGTAGAGGATGATATTTGAAGTATGTTTGCCATTCACTTTCTGACCTTTTATGCTCCTTTCATGGACCTAACGGCTTGTTTGGATTTTTGTTGCGTATTGTTTCGTAATTTATTGTATTCTATTGTACTGTATTATTTTAATGAATACAACGTTTGGATAAATTGTATTGTTTGCCGTTATTTCATGATATCACGCACCAACAAATATAAAGAAAAAACTTGCAATATTACTAGAAAAAGTAGGGTACGAGTCAGAATTATTATAAAAAAAGGTGGGGTAAAGGATAAAAAAGAATTATTTAATAATAAGGAAGGGTAAGATGAGAGGAAAAACAAGGTAACGGTGTGAGCACACCAAATCGGTCGTTACGTAAAGTGACACTTTTCATCGTTACATGATACGATAAAACTTAAGTAACAATCAAAGCAAACATTGTATATAAAGTAACAATACGATACAAAACAATAGGTAAAAACCATCCAAACAAGGTGTAACTACTAACTAGTATAATTTAAAAGAAAATTGGTATAATTTGATGGAAAATTCACTTGTCAGAGGAAAAAAAACCAACAACAAAAATTGGTGGAAATTTCAGCTGCTGGCATACTATTAAGTGACGTTTTGGTTGCATCAATTCTCTGTGGTTCCAAAGAAGATATTTTATACACTCCACTTTTGCTGAGCACGAAAGTATATTGATTGAACATTAATTTTCAGGGATCGGTTATTTGGAAGCCAAAAAAATATATGAGATTCTTCTGAAGTCAGCTCCAGAAAGCCGTAATATTTTTGGTCGGCTTTCAGGTGATGCTGTAAGACCTACTCTCTCTCTCTCTCTCTCTTTCTCACACGATATGTATATGTTTGTTTGTTTCCAATATAACGTGATCTTGTTTTGACTCTTGTCAGGGTGTTTGGGAAGCAATAGTGCGTGCCTATGAGAAGGAATACATTTTCCTTGGTGAAGCTGCTCAGACTATGGTCCAAAATGTTAACTATGAGATGTAAATTTGCTAACTTTATCACACTACTAGCAAAACAAATTAAGCTATGATTTGACTGTAGTAATTTTCTATCAAGATGTCTAAGAGCCCTATGATTATTTTGTAGCCCCTATCATAAGAAGCAGATTCAGAAGACACAGCAGCAACTAGCTGAATTGGAGCGCAAAGAAACTGATATAAAAAGAAATGCAGCTGTTTCGGCGTCTAAATATGTAGAGGCTTGTCAGGAGCTGGGCCTGCAGGTTTTAGCTTGCTTGACTCTGTTACCATTGGATTAGCCTTTTTATTCATCTTTCTTTCCATTTATATTATACTTTTCTCTTCTATCCAGGGAATAAATGTGAGGTCAGAACTTTTAGAAACTGCCACTAAATCTCTTCCAACCACATTTAGCAGAATCTTGGAAGTACTTAATGGTGATTCTGTCTCACGGGCTACTGAGTTTTACTCAGATTTTGTCAAAGATGCTCATACAGAAAAGGATGTAGGCGACGAACTTTGTGACTTTCTTTCCCTATATCTGTTGTTAGTGTAGCATCAGTGTTTGGTGTAGCATGGATTACTTAAGTTGTTTGTTCTGGTTGCAGAAAACCGCTGCTGTTGTGTTACTAAATCTGAGGAGTGTTCGTGAAAGGCCCCCTTCGACTGATGTTTCCATAAGCTCTGAAGTATTGGAGGTTATGAAAGCTCAAGGAGGATATAATGACTTAGGTCAAATGACTGTAGAAACTGATATTGCAGCTGATGGGATTGACTGGGATATTACTTTAGATAGCTCTCAAATTGATTGGGACATTGGCACTGTGGAAGAAACAGAAGAAAATGGAAATGGTTTGGGTCCCTATGAGATTGTTAATGCAAGCGATATTTTGCCATCTCCTCGTAATGACAGTGTAGAATCTCATCAGACCGCAAATGAAGAAGGATTCTCAGCTCCTGAGGTCTCTGCATCAGAAATATCTTGGGATATAAGTGTTGACAATCCTCAAGTCGATGTGATTGAAGAAGACAGTTCACAAAATAATGCTGTGGAACTACGTTCTCTTCAAAACAATTTAACTGCAGAGAGGAGTCCTCTACTAGAGACAGAGTACAGGAATAAGATACTTGATGACTTATTTGAGGTCTGTATGAATGGTGTTATCCTCTTTTATTTGATTAGTATCTTTAGACATTTTTTCTTTGTTCGGCACTAGTTTATCAACTTTTGTGCTGGAAATAGGCTCTATTATTGAGGCCGCTTGATTAGGTTGTCGTCAATTTGAACTTTCAATGTCTTCGTTGAGTCGTTTTGCCTGGTGGGTTTGACGGTTTCTGACATCTATTGTTTGATGCTTGGCCATCAGGTGAAAGCATTCTTGAATCAACGGTTGATTGAGCTAAGGAACGAAGAAACTACGTCTTTACAACATCAAGTCCAAGCAGTTGCTCCGCTTGTTCTGCAGCAGTACTCTTCTGATATAATTCAGACAATGCTATCTGACGTTTCCTCAGCCATTTCATTGCTTACAAATAGGAAAACAAGGGACATGATCATGATCCTCAACTCCAAAAGGTACTGATTAGTTATGGATTCCATGAAATTTGTTTTCTGTTGCAAGTTGAATAGTATATTTTCTTCCTTTTTCAGATCTTTATGACATGCAAAGTTCTTGAATCTGCATGCCCCCAATATATCTTTTGTTTTAAACTGCAAAGTATACATAAACTTTATAAGTTTAGTAATCTTATAAAAAAAAACATTAACTTTGTAAGTTCAGTAATCTATTCACTCTTGAAGTTTATGGCATTCAACTTTTGATGGAGTAATAGCTCACTTCTGTTGTCATCATGATGAGATGGTTTCCAGACACTAATACTAGATCATTATTCTATGAAGTTTGTGGACTGCAGATTTAACTATTTGTGTTAAAATTGCATGCTGACTGCTGTATTAATCCTAATTCCAGGTTTTTGGATCGGTTGCTCAATACTTTGGAGGAGAAAAAGCGTCAGGAAGCCAAGTTAAAGGACGGATTAAAGGACTTGTCTACTAGGCGTATGGAACTTCAGAATTCAATGTCTTCATCTTGGCCAAAACAAGTGAGTTTCTTATTTTATTTCCCTTCCAGTTTTGTGTAGTGTGATTTGCATTAATTGCAAAAATGTGTAGCTACTTTGAGTTTAAAGTATTATTTATGTTCTCATAATTTCATTATTTTGGATAAAGTAATAATTTGATTAAAAGTGTGGGCATAAAAATGCCCGTACACAAGAAGTATACCAAAAAGTAGAAAACATTCTCATAATTTCATAACATGCTTTTTCGGATTTTCAAAGGTTTCCGATCCCTGACAAGGGGCCAAGTAAATTATGGAACCTTGTGTACATACAGTGTCTTTTAGACTTCAACTTTTCCTGTGCTTTTGTTGTCAATTACAGTAATTCTTACAGATCTTCTGAACTTCACAATGCTGTAAGTTTATGCTAGATATGTATGTTGGCTTTGCAATACATTTTTTCGAATAGTTATCCCTCCCGCCAAAAAGAAAAAGAGCACCACTATCAGTGCCTTTTGAAATAACCTCGATAATATCTGTTCATATCTCCGAAAGGAAATAAAAATGTGGTGAAGTAAACCATAGCAGAAGTCCCCTGCCTGCTCTTTCTCTCTTGCATTCGTAATTTTTTTCTTGAAATTTGGTTTTTTCTTATGCAGGAAGCAGCTATTGCGAAGACCAGGGAACTGAAGAAACTTTGTGAGAGTACACTTTCATCCATGTTTGACGGACGGCCTGTCAACATCATAGGAGAGATTAATGCATTGTTAATTAGCAGCTAGTGTTAGAAGGCTAGAGCAACTCTTATACATCATGTAACTCTAATTGTTGTTGATACTGTAGAAGTTAGAAATACACACAATTGAACCTGAATTTTGCAAACCACAGGGTATTTTGGTTTGGCACTGCTTCACACCCCCTCTTCCCCGAATGAAAAGACATAAGAAATCAACTTCGTTGTGCTCCCATGGAATGCCATTGTGCTAATTATCCTAATTCTATTTCATGCCCAAACTTCTATTTCATAAGCGTTGAATGTTATACTAGCAACTGGTATTAGTTTTGTGTTGTCAAAGGTTCGGTTGAGGTTTGTTCAAGGCCTAAAGCTAGGTGCATAATAGGCTGAGCGCTTCTTCTTTGCTTAATCGATGCTTCAATGCTAGCACCAAGGCTCTAAGACACACGCCTTACTGTCGCTTATTGTTTTGTTTTGAAAAGAACGACAGCAAGCAAACAATATTTCATCTAGTTATAGTATTTCAATTTATCAGTTAGATAACTGTTGTCTGGGTTTATAGTTTATCATAACTGAACTACATAAATGTTTCTTTTCCTTTTCCTTTAATTGCGCCCTTCTTTATTTGTGCTTTGCGCTTAAATCCTCAATTAACTTCAGAATGTTTTTTCTGATTTTCACCTTTGATACCACTGGATTCGTTCCTGTTGGGTGGAATACGACAAACTCTTAATGTTCTTATATCCTTATTCCTCGATCGCATTTCTATTGTTCTCAAGTATGTAACATTTTTGTTGAAGTACCGTCCAGTCAATTGTCTTTATTGGCTGCGAAACAGTTGAATCTGAGTTCGTAGTGTGATCTAAAATGTTGGTATTTTGAAATGCTATATATTCCCACAGTAGAAAGATAAACGAGTTTGCTCTTCTTTTGGTGAAAATAAATCTGGCAAACAATACTAGAATCTGGTAAAAGCAAGATACGAGGGATGTACTCTCTCGAAAAATCAATGTATGCATTAAATTCTATAGAGGCTATACGAGCATTGCAACTTTATGTTACAATCATCCATTCTGATGCTACAATTTTATTGGCATTGAGCGAGGCCTAAAATAGAACTGGAGCTACAAAATCACGTCACCATAAAAGAATGGAAATGGTTGTGAAGAAGTCCTTAGCATGAAAAGAACTATACAAAGTGGTATTCAGCACATTGCAGAGGATCATCAGATGGAGTAGTAGCTTGCAGTTGGTGAGGCAAAAAAGCGGCTGTTGGTTGAACGAAAGGATCGCTCAAAGGGGTCAACCTCATTGCCTTCTGCTGTGGCTTTATCTTTTCCAGACTTTGCTTTTTCTGGCCCAGACTTCTGTAACACTGACACTAGTGAATGCACAACTTCAGCCATTTGAGGACGGAATTCCTTTTCTGGCTGCGCATGTTTTTCAGCAACAGACACAAAAGTTAAGGATGATTGTCAGTTGAAACCTTTATCTGAAAAGATTTATTATCATAGTTTTGGGGGTACATTAGAGTAGTCTTCTCTAGGAACCAAGCAGATTCTAGTGAAGTTCACTCAATTGTAGTGTGTATGGTGTACTGTACAAACCTGAATGCATTGGGAAATGATGTCAGCATAAGATGAGAGAGCCCTGGAGGAAATTGTTCTCTTTATGGTAGGATCAACCATGTCCAACAAAGACTCACTGTCATGAAGCTTGGAAGAAGCCCATTCTACCAGTGACTGCTCTCCTTTTGGTTTTGAACTGCATTCGTAACAGGAAAAGAGAAAAAAAACATCAGCAACCAAATAATGGTTTTTGACAAAGTTGAGAGAAAGTTGGCAAGTGGAAGAAACCTGTCAAAAGGGCGCCTTCCAGTTAAAAGTTCAAGAAGCAGCACACCAAAGGAATAGATGTCAGCCTTTGGGTTGCCACTTCCACGTTTGACATGCTCAGGCGCAACATAGCCACTATCTTCAATAGCCATCTCAGAAGCCTGTCTTGCACCAGTAACAATGACAGTAATTGCTAGTGAGTATGTTGAAAAACTTGTGCTGTCATTCTAGTTTACTCAGCATTTCTCTGAGCAGTTCTTTACTAATCATCAATAATAATACTAGTAGTGAAGAAAGGTTATAAGTGTAAAGAAGGTACCTTGATTTTAACACTGTTGCTGGCCAGTGGTCTTAGGACAGCTAGTCCACAATCACAAATACGAGGGTTAAGATCTTCATCAAGCAAGATGTTGGCAGCCTTTAGATTGCTATGGGTGATGGGAGGGACACAGAACGTATGCAAGTAACTGAAAATGTAAGTGGAATGATTAAAGCCATGAACAACAGGAGAGTACTTAAAACATTTATCCTCATCCACCTTGCAGTATTTGCAGTCACAATTACAATGACAATGAAAGCTAGTATTGTTTACTTACTTCAATGCCCTAGCAACGCCAATGGCAATGCGGAGTCGGAGGCTCCAAGTCAGAGGCATGCACAGAACACTGTGCAAGGCATCATCAAGTGTCACATTCCTTATGTACTCATACACAAGGAGGTGATTGCCATGCCCCACACAATATCCAATAAGTGCAACGATATTAGGGTGCCTCAAACGGGATGCAGTTCGAATCACATCCATAAATTGTTCTTCCTCAGTTATGGAGAGTGCTACAGTTTTAATGTTCTTGACAGCCAGAATCTTGCACAACCAAGAAGTAACAAGAGTAAGAAAACTTTGTAAAAAATTCTCTTGGTTACGTGTGGGAAGTCGCTGCTAGGATATACCTGTCCATCAGGGAAATCTGCTCTATAAACAGAACCAAGGGTTCCTTCACCAAGCAGATTACCGGGACTGAAATTACTTGTGGCCAACTGCAACTCTGCTACTGTATAGTGTTTGGCACATATTGGGATTTTGCACTTCTTGGAGAAACTTCTTCTTTTTGACATTTTCAGAGTCATGGTCGGTGCAGGTGGCAATTGCCATGAGGAAATCAGTGGAGGAGAGTCACTGCTGGAGGAATCTGGGCTATCGTATTGAGCAGCTAAAGGACCAGTGGTGACTGGTAAAATGAAAAGCACAAACAGAGAAAATATCTATAAGAAATGTGGTTCATTTTCACAGGAAAAAGGGTGCATTATCATTGGCGTATACATTAGGCATTATCAAGATTGTAATTCATGATAATATAATTTCATAAAATTGTACAAGGCATCTAACTGTAAAATGAAGTGGTTTCTGAAGAATTATATCTGACCTTGGGGTGCACTGATTGGAAGAGACTGCAATGAACTTATGCTGCCTCTTATGCTGTCGAGTGTCTGTTTTTGGGATCGACGAATCCGAAAAGTGATATAGACTGCTGCACCAAATACAGTCAGTACAGCTCCAACAACCATAATAACTATTCCTCCAGAGCCTGGTCTTTTCTTTCTGTTGTCTCCTGTTTCATGAGAAGGATATTTCTCAATGGCACTTGATTTTGTTGTTGGAGGACTAGAAATATTGGGCATAACATCAGTAGGAAACTTCCAGGGAAGATAGTCTGCTCCTCCACTGTGAAACCGATTACCCCCAATCCTGATTATTAGGGAAAGACACAAAGCCAAACGTCAAGTAGGGTAAAATATACCAACAAATAGACTTTGAATCCAGAGTTTTTACCATAAGTTGTTTATATTTTGAAAGCTCCCAGGAATAACACCACTAAAATGATTATCTTCAATGTTCCTGGAATAGACACAATTGAGCAATTTGAGTGTCTTAGAATTTAAACTTCAATAGATACACTCATCAAAACTGATAACTCACAGGTCATGTAGATGAAGGTCAGCCAGAAAAATTACTGATCCAGTGAATTCATTGCTCTGAAGATACCTGCCAAAAGTACCTCATTGTACTAATGGAATATGCAACTGGTAGAAATGCTGACAGTTGTGAAAAAACTTACAATTTTGTAAGGTTCTTCAGAGCTCGAAATGAAGCAGGTAAATCTCCACTGAACTTGTTGTGTGACAGATCCCTGTTGAAACAAATTTTTGTACGTAAAATTTTCTTGCCAAGCTCAATTTCTTTACTACTTCAACCCTATACAGCATTGTCTTATGCACCTTTGTTTACCTCATCTATTTGTTTATAGAAAGTACCTCCTGAATTTGCATACATAATGCAAGTATTCTAACTCATATTTCGGTTGATCACCTTCTAAAGTCAGAAGTATCATATAGAGAGAGACATCTATTGATAAATGACAGATTAGTATAAACAATGGAATTCAAGACATGCCGCACTAATTACAAACTTGAATCTCGAGCAGAGATCTCGCTACACATTAAAAATATGGCAATGAAGGCTTGAAGCTGAAGCTGTGTCTCATTCAATTACAGAAGGCAGATAATCGATTTTGAGCAGAGATCACAGTTTGCTTCCAAATAAAAACTAGGAAAAAGAAATCAAGAACAAGAAATATATATCATACATCATTATAAGATTGTCCAAGCCCCCAAAGACATCTGCCAGTGGTCCAGACAGTAGGTTCTGGCTCATATTTCTGCAACAAAAGAACACTTGTTAGGACTCTGAGAATGAAATAACCAAAATACTGATAGAAAAAAGAAGCTGCTTACAGGTGCCTGAGATGTTTCATTGAACTCACAGAAGCGGGAATGCTTTGAGTAAAGTTATTGCATGCCAAATTTCTATATCAACCAAAACAAGGAGCACAGTTTGTGAGATAATGAGCTAATTTCTTGCTCTGAATAGGAAAACTAATTCACAACGATATTCATCTTACAAGTCTGTGAGATTATGTGGCAAGCTATTTGGTATCTCGCCATGAAATTGGTTAGAGCTAAGATCTCTATACAAACAGAAACTATGAGTGATAATCTCAATATTTTTTACATTTTCGTATATAAAATGACACCAAATGAAATAACTTACAGGTGTTTCAAATGTTGTAGACTAACAAGTTGATCTCCAATATTACCAGTAAGATTTAACCCTTGAAGTTTACTGCAGGAAACACAGAAACAGGCAATTCAATTGGCTTAATTTGTTGGTGAGTTTGAATTTAGCGACAAAAGATAGAGTAATCAATTATTTTCAGTAAAGTACATCTCAATTACTGATGATTGATAGCAAGAAACCCCAGTCCATGATTCTTCACAAGGATCACCTCCCTCTAATTTCCAATTCTTAAGTTCAGTAGGGCTGTTTAGAGCTCTGTACAAATCTCTCAGTGCTTGAACTGCAAAAATGAAAATGCTCTAATCAAATAAAATTTTCTAATCCCAACTCAAGTCACTTCTAAAACTGCCCAAATCAAGAAGTAACAACCACCAAATTAAGAACAGTTTCAGAGAAATGCATCAAAATTAGGAAAACCCAAAATAATGAGTGAAAATACCTTGGAGATCATCAGTGCGGGCAAAAGCTTGAAAGAATAGAACCCCAAAAAGCAAAATTGCAGCAGTAACCAACCCCAGATTTCTCTGCTTAGCCATTGTGCACAGCAACATACACAGAGATCTCCTCTTAACTTCAAATCACGTAACACTGGTGGAAATGCAAAAATCGGTTATTCTATAATCATCAAGCCCAAGAAAAATTAAAAGATATAAAAGAACTACAAACTCACAATAAAAACCGGTAGTAAAACAAGAAAACCCAACTCAGAAAAGAAGAAGATTCAAGAAGTAGCATGAAGACTACTCATACATTAATAAAAAAAATCAGAAACATTCGTGCTTGACAGGATTACAAAACCAACCCCCCCC